TAAAAGTAGGTTTTAAGCTGTAAATTCTATAAGTTTTCTTAATTTGGAACAGGCTTATGGTGATCGGGGCTATTGTTAAAAGTTTAAAACGCACTTGAGCTGGCATTACCCTATCTTTTATAACTAAACATAACAGTTTTATATCATACATTTAACTTTTATTGTAACTATTAGGAATATAAATATCTTTCAAAAAATGTACATTTTCCTAAAATCCACTGAAAAGAAAGTATTTATAATGCTATTAAATACAGCCATAAAATAAAAAAGTTAAACTACACCAATTAAATCTTTTAAATTGTTGAAGCTTTGGATAAAGTAATGTTTTTGTAGGATATATTTATAAATGATTTCTATTTTATTACATTTACAAAAAAACAAAGGCTGTATTCAATTCGTGTTGCCTAAGGTGCTTTAGACAGGCACGCGCTTCAAAAAGGCAAAACACTCGTGCAGTGCCAAAGGCCAAGAGTCACGGTCACGGAGCCTAGAAGAGAAAAAAAAGCCACAAAATATGGTTGCGGAAAATCAGTTTTCCAGCGAAATGCTTCAATTTCACCAGACACAACTTCGGGTCGAGTGGAGTGCAGTTTGCCTTGTCTGTGGCTGCCATGTGGTCGTTGTCGTCGTCACTTTGTTAATTGCACCTCATGCATTTCAGCTGCAGAGAGTCGGATAAAAGTCTGGCCAAGATGCTGTTCAAGTTCTGCTCACGGCCAATTGTTTGTGCAGACAACTCTTGAGCAACAACACCAAGCAGTTGACGGTTTGATTGCACAAGTGCTTGGGCCCGGGCCAAAGATACCTTATTTGCTTTGCTAATGAAATGACCGAGGAATGACTCTGCAGCTCCATTGGATGGAGGCAAACTGTTCAGGCTGCACTAGAACCCAGTCCACAACGACTTTCCCTGGCATTTTTATTTCGTCCACTGCCACAACGCCCACAACGAAAGTCAAATGCCCAAAGAATCAATTTGCATTAAATCAAATTTTTAATAGTCCAGCTTGGACAGCGAAAGACAACGCCTAGAAAAGCATGTAATGGATTGAGTTCAGCCCGCTCAAGCTGGTTCTTAAACTCTGAATTCGGGGCGTGGTTTCTGTGATGAACACCAAATCTCTTTTTTATTAGAAATCTTCGCCGAAGGGTCGGCTGAATTCCCAATTGGACAGCCCATTCTTGTTTATGTTTATGGGCCAATTTAAAAAGATGAAAGAAGCTTAGGCAACAAGCACATAAAAGCACATAAAATAAAAGAAAATAAGAGAGAGGTGAAAGAAATATTTGTTAGGGATTTGTTTAGATTTTTTGTCTAAGATTACTTTAATCGCTTTGATCGTAAACAGTAGACGGGGTTGTGTGATCGTACGAATCGTAAATAACTTGAATGGATTTTTGATTTCATAAAAATATAAGAAGATTTGTATGGGTAAAGTTTAAAATCCTCAACTTAGAGGCTTTATTATTTTAGAAGACAAAGCACCGAACCTTAAGATCTTTTGTAAACCCAAAAATGTAAAAAATGTTGAACTTTCTGTCAGTAACTTAATCCAAGACAAACATAATATTTATATTTGAATTACAACAAGTTTGGGGAAAAGTAAAAGGTTTAACGCAGTAACTGCGAACTTTAGTAGATATCGTGTTTAAAGGAAACTATATCAACAGTATATGACCATTTCTTTTTATTTATTTTCCCTACAACATGATTACCTACTGAAAGATGGTAATTACGTTATTTCGATTGTCATTTCGAAGTCGTCTTCCTGAATCTAAACTACCTATTTAAAAGCAATTACATAAATATATTTATGGTGAAAACACAACAAATTGTCGCCTGCCTTTTGGGCAAAGCATTAAATATTAATATTGCATAATCGAGCCGCCTCCGCAGGTGCACACTTAAAGTGCTCAGGGCAGACATGTCGTATGCGCAATGTTTTGGTACGTGCGTTAAATGCCGAAGTCGAAACGGAAAATTGTCGTATTTCATAAGCAATTATCTTCGCCAGCTTTGCCCACATTAGAGGCGAGCAGGCGGACTTAATTTCGGTTTCTGCTTTTGGCCACGTTGAGAAACAGTTGAAAAGTGCAGCGAAATAGAAAGTGATTTCTTGTCAGCAATTTGGAGGCGCTGAAATCGCCAATTTGAATGGAGCACAAGTCGATTTTGGAGTTGGGTGGAAGGAGAAGGAATTGCCGACTGTGTGGGTTGGGCAAAAACTGGAAAACTGAAAAAGTGGATGAAAAAATAAGAGACAGGGCACAAGTCGTGCGTCCTCGATGGAGTAGCGATCGCATTAGTGTGGGCAAGCACTGGAACTAATGACAACTCTTGCTGTTGTCTCCATGTTGTTGTCATATCGGGTGCATTCAACCCAACTTGTCTGGATATAATGGCCAACAGATTTTACTTTCGTTGCGGCCTGGCCGTGAAAGTGTTGCATGCCCCGCTCCAAAATGGAATTCAATTTTCGTATCCCAAATTGCGTTACACATTCAACCAGCTATGTCCATGTCTGGAGATTTCACAGCCGCCGGCTCACTTTTACCACCACCCCAATCAAAATCCCAATCCCAGACTCGCTTCGGAATCAATAAAATCAAAAGGAAAACTGGAAAATTAACAATTCGCGGCAAGGAAAGTGAAAACTGTGTCGCCGCCTTTTGTTTTGCTTGCCCAAAAGGAAGCGTTAATTGTATCAAAATCGCAACAAATAGCTGCGGCGAAGAAAGTGAAACAAATATTGTGTATTTCAATCAGAGTGGAGCCAGTTTAGCGACAGGTGAAAGTAAAATCTGTGCCAAACTTAATCAAAAAACCACGAGACCCACAATGAGCCACCAATGCCGCTCGGCAATTGGGTTAAGCTCAATAACTAAACGTGTTTCGCCGAGTGAGTGTGAATTATGATTGTTGTTTTGGTTTAACCTTAAACTGGTTCTGGCCTACCCTCCATAAAGCCCAAAAGATGACATGCACTTGACAGCCCAAAAGATGGTCGGAAGAGTGGAGCCGCAGTCATAGAAAGCCAACAGCAAATAAATCTTTTTGGGAAGGTGTCAAAGAATAGCTGGGTCACACTTGAGTGCCGAGTGAGATCTGTGTGATCGGTTATGTTTGTCTAAAAATTCACAGCTCAAGTATCGATGGTTTCGAATAAGGTACTGAAATAAATCACGCAAAATTACAGTCATTCTGACCCACTTTGTTTAATAAAACCAATGAATGGGTATTGAATTTGATGTCTTTAATGATATTCTATGTATTAATCATCTCTGGTTTTAGTTTTTATTAAATCACCAAGTATTTGTCTATTTCAAGTAACATAAATACATAAAACAAGTTCAGCCACTGTCATTCTTATACCCCATAATAATACCTTATATTAAAATAGCATTAATTTTTAGATACTCATCTCATTTCTCTCGGTGTAATTGATGCCTGGCTGAGAGTGGGAAATTGTAGCTTAAGATGCGATAAGAAGTGCCCATTCGAGATTTCTTCGCTCGGAAAGGGGAGGTTCAAGTGCTTGTCCCCATTCGATTGCCATCTGCATTCTACAAGACAACAATCTATATTTAAGTTGCATATGGCGAGGCTCTTCTCATTTATCTGCCATATCCAAGGAAAATGATGAAAATCAGTCGCAACAACAACCTCGGCTTGGCATCTTTTCAACGCTTGACGTAGCAATTTGTGAAATTCTTCCTAGGCTGCCAAGCGAGTGCAGATCTAAGGCCCCGAGGCCTTGTATCTAAGTGTCTGTGTGCCGACGAGTACCCAGGGTAATCAGTAATATGCCTTCGCCATTGTGACAGATATGCTAGCCATCAGCTATATCCACATACTGTGCTCACAAACCCACAATTTTGAAGGAAAACCAACACAATTATATGCAAAGAGAGTGAAAAGAATATGAGGAAAGACAAAGACGGCGACTCAGACTTGACATCGAAAACAAATGATGCCTGGCAAAGGCTGCGACAGAGATTGAAACTGATCCGAGCTTGGTATGGGCTGGGCTGGGCTTTGTTTTCCTCCCAAATGCAAATGAATCGCGTTGACAATGACTGAGTGCCTGGCTGTTGGCTGCTGGGAAGGGCAAGTTGAAAAGGAAGGGGCAGGTGCATGGGGCAAGTGAAAAGTGAAACCCCGATGTGATGATATTCTTCCATTGCGATGATAAATTCAAGGGAAACTGAACCTCGGAATTCGACGCTCTTTTCAATGAAATCTTTCCCTTTCTTCTTGGTTTCTTGCGGTATTAAATGTCATACAATAAAGATTTCATTTATAATATGTCTAGATAAAAGATTCATCTTTAGATAGGGATTTGATTGAATAACACACAGGTGTTTTAAGGCGATTTGATTGATTATTTCTAAATATCACTTTCAATAAAGCTTTAATAAACGTTGTTAAATAAAATAAACGTTGTTATTAAAGCTTAGAATATTTCTTGAATATACATATAAATAAATGATCATACAAAAATGTTGCGGATTTTGAGCTGCAGTTTTGTTAGTTATGTTATAAACATTGACAAAAAATTGTAATGTTTAATATCAGCAAAGCGTGTTATATATACCTTTAAAAATGTAATGCTTGTTCATATTTAAATTATGTTTTTAACTTTATTCGATTTCATGAAGTAATAACAATCGCGGTATTTAATTAACTAGTTCTGAAAATGTTTTTTTTAATGTAATAATTGTACTTATAGTATACATGACTGTTGTCAAAGGATGAATTTAAAATATTAAACTTAATAAAGTCAAAAAACTACTACATATACTGTTTTGGAAGAAAAAGGGAAAGACATGAAACAAATAGCTTTAAAACTGAAATAATAATAATCCTAACCACATTTAGCTATATAAACTAAAGCTAAACTGCCGCTTTAAGGGTATAGCTGTTAAATATAGATATCTTATCTTCTTAATTCCAATTTATTAATATTCTCCAACATATATTGTTCACCCTATTTTTGCAGCTGGCCAGCACGAGAGCATCTCGCAGATCTCGCCCAAGTCGAGCAGCCACCGCAGTCCGGCCCGCCTGAGCATCGAGAGCACCGTGGCGGACTCCATCAACGGCCTGGCGGAGAGTCCCCGCTCGCCCCGCGATCTCAACGAGAACGAGACGCGGGCGGAGCGAGTGGAGCGCTCGGCGTCGCCCATCCTCCACGATCGCCAGTCGCCCATTGGACCCAACGACGTGAACTTCCCGGAGGAGCTGGAGAAAGACGTGTCCGCCGGAAGGTACTTTCACTACAACATCAAGCCCACGGGGACATACGACAACCAGGAGGAGCAGCCCGAGCGAACGCACCAGGGGATCAGGGCCGGGAAAACCCTATCCCTGGGCAGCGGCATTAGCAGCAGCAGCAGCTCAGAGCAGTCTTTTTTAGGGCGGGGGGACCTGCGACCGCTAGTGTCGGGGTCCCCGATTCGGCCGAGTCCGAGCAGTACTGCCACCTCAGCGACGGCGGCCAGTGCCACGCAGGCGCCGCATAGTCCGCGCCAGAACGGCAACCCCGACATCCAGGACATCATCACGGGCATCGTGAAGCTCCTGAACGGTAATGTCAATGTCCACGCAAATACACAGGGTGTGAGGCGTCCCTCGGCCAGCAGGATCAATAATCGTGGTCCGCCGAGGATTTCCGAGGCCCAGAACCTGCCCATCGACTATGAAGCTCAGAAGCCCGGAACTTCGATGCGACCGCCACCGTATCCCTTCGACCGTCCGGATCGTCCTTTTATTACGGGTGTGCCCATTCCCGAGCAGATTGTCCCCGTTCGTCCGGGATTCGTGAGCAATCGTCCGCCATGGTATCGCAACAAGCCACGCCCACCCATCGCCACCAGTGTGGGCGGCAATCGGAGACCCTTGCCTCAGTATAAACCCCTTCCAGCTCCGCATGTCCAGTCCCAATCCCAGTCCTCTCCCCAACCGCAGGATCAAACGGAAAAGAAGAACGAGCAGGAGAAGGAGCAGAATCACCAGGAGCAACAGCCGGCAGAAGATATGGTGCAACCCACCGATACCACCTACGACTCGGAGTTCTCCAATGAAGATGCCAATGCCCAGTATATCGAAGTATCCGACCAGGACACGGACTCCACTGGCGGTGGAGAGGTGGAAGATGAACTGCAGCCACCTCCCGCTCCACCTTCCACAACGAACAATCCACCAACGCATCCAACAACTCCCTCGAAGAAGAAGCACAAGCCAAAACCAGGAAGTGAAAAGAAGAAGCTGCCAGAGGAATCGAATCTGGACGAGGGCTTCACCACCATCATTGAGACCAGTTCGGTGGTGCACACTGTGATGGGCATGTCCTCCACCTACGTGCCCATGTCCATGGACAGTGCGGAGAGCCTCGGTCTGGATCCCTCCACCGAGGAGGTGATCTTCATGACCGCCAATCGGACACCCGGCCTGGAGACCAGTGCCACCTCCTCGCTGAGCACCTCCTCGTCCTCCAGCCTGGCCTCAGACATCCAACCAACGTCCTCCAAAGAACCCACTACCACCACCACCACCACTAGTACCACTACCACCACCAGCTCCACCTCGACCACCACCTCAACCACCACCCCGCCATCTAGTTCGAGTTCCACCGAAAGTGCGCCACCTAATAGTTCCAATGCTAACACCAATGCCACTCCGCCCGCCCCCTACCATCCCCGTCCCGGGATCGTCCTCGATGATCCCGAGTTCAAGCCCGGTGGTCGGCCACGCCCACCCGGCCAGCGAACGCCCCCGCAGCAGACCCTTCCCCAGCCAGCGATTCAGCCGACGCGGCAGCATCTGCCACCCGGCTACGGGGAGATCTTCGATGTGACCCTGTCCGCCATCCAGGGACCGGGTCCCAAGGGCAGTGGCTCCCAGCAGACGATCAACATCAAGCCATACGGAACGTATGCGGCGGGCGGAGGTCAGGGCGACATCATCGTGTCGGCATCAGGTGACGACGGCTTTGTCTCCATCGACGGCAAGCGCACTTACATCAATCTCTTTGGTGACCCCACAGATCCACCAGCGGGGGCCACGTCCCCAGCCACGCGTCTGCCCCAGTTGCCAGGCTCTGGCTCTGGGTCGGGATCAGGATCAGGATTAGGACCAGGACCAGTATCGGGATCGGGAGTAGGATCCTCGCCAGGAGTTACAACCGGAGGTGGTAGTGGTGGTGGTTCCTCCAGCTCACCAGCTGTTCCGCCCAACGCGGTCACCCAGAGCAGTGGTGGCTATGTGGTGCCCGAAACGGAGGTGGTGGACCTGCAGGGTCACAGCAAGCCGCAAGGAGGAGCCCCCACAACGAATGCCGGACCCACGCGACCGCACTACCGCCAGAGACCAACGCAGCCGCCCGTGAGGATCGACACCTGCATCGTGGGTGATGATTCCACCTGCGACCAGGCTCAGCATGAGCGTTGCAAGACGGACAACGGCGTTTCCAGCTGCCACTGCAGGCCAGGTGGGTTCTTGATTTGGGCATCCCGATCAGGAGAGGATTTATTCATATCTAATTCATTATGTTTTTCTTAGGCTACTCCCGACGAAAGCACCGGGAGCCATGTCGACGGGTCATCTCCTTCCATCTGGGCATGCGCGTGGATCGCATCTACGAACACAGAATCGTCTGGGACACCAAGCTTATGGACAAACACAGCGAACCCTTTGGACAGCTCAGCTACGAATCTATTCGAGCGGTAAGTCATTGTAATTCGGAAAATGTTTTCTTAAGGAGTCAATAATTCTTAAATAATTGATTACTGCCAGAAATATATTAAAAAAGAAAGGTAGAGTAATTGTTTGATCTTTTATTAAGACAAACATTTGCCAGCTTTTACGAAAAGGCATAAATGAATAAGATGGCAAAACTAGCATAAATATTTGAAACATTTGCTTGATTGAAAAAAAATCTTTGTTGGCATTATAAAACAAAATGCTATTTTAAATTTTATGGAAAAATGTCCCAGAATAATTGTTGTTACCTGAATTAGGCAAACAAACACCATCTGTAAAAATGGGAATCATAGTTTGAGTTTCTAAAGATAAAGTATAAAATATTACAAAAACAACGCATGTTTGCAAAATTCGTTCCTAAGAAAACTATTTTTTGTCGTTCGATATTTGTTATTTATAATAATAGAAAAAGTCACAAACGATCATGTTTATCCTATAAATAACTTTGTTTCAAATAATTTCGTAATATTTGCAATGTGTAATTTATATTCCTTCCAGTTGGACTCTGCCATGTCGATGACGCCCTACTCGGACGAGTTCATGGAGGCCAAGGTGAACAACATCTACCGAGGTGATCCCAATCTGGGCGGAAGTGGCGTCTACGTGAACTTGACCATCAAGGTATGTATCAATCAGGTACTCCTAAAAAAACTAAATTGATTGACGTTACCCCAATCCAGCTGGACGAGAGTGTGGAGACATTGCGACCCAACCTGCGCAGCGACGTTCAGAAACACCTTTTGGGAGTCCTCCACCGGCGAAACAACAACATTGGCAACTCCGTGCTGTACGTAAGTTCGCCGGAAGGAGCGGTATCCGCTCTCCAGGACCTGGACGAGTGCCAGTCGCCGGAGCTGAATGACTGCCATCCCGGCGCCAGTTGCAGCAATACGTGGGGCAGTTTCCGCTGCTCCTGCGAAGCGGGACTCCGTGATCCGTGGGCTGACCAACCGGCGCGATCCGGACGCGAGTGCCAGGCCTGTGCCGACTCCGTGTGCAACAACCACGGCACCTGCAGCTACGGCGACGATGGCGCCCAGCTGTGCACCTGCGACTCGAGCCACTATGGCGCCCAGTGCGAGATCGACGGCGAGGTGCTGGGCGTGGCCATCGGCGCCTCCGTGGCGGCCATCATCATCATCGTCCTGACCCTGGTGTGCCTGATCATGTGGTCGCGGCGCTGGCAGCGGGAGCAGAAGAACGCCATGGGCTCCCCGGTGTTCGGGTACATGAACACCGCGCCGCTGAAGTCCGCAGGATTGCCACAGGCTGGCTACCAGGTGACCCTGGAGGACCGCATGCGATGGGCCCAGATAGCCGACGTCATGGCCCAGACGAACCACTACGGGGTAGGTATCTGGCGGTCATCTAGTAATGATGATTTAATAGGACTTTTCTTTGGCATAAAGAGTATTTTCTTTAGATACAAAAAAAGTATTACAAAATGATATGTAAGGGCCATTGCGACTAGTGCAAATAAATAAAATACTTTGCAATGACCTGTTTTTCCGTATTTATATAAACTGAAATACGGACTTTTGTATTTACAATTTATAGGAAAGGATACGTCCTCTTTACTGTATTACAAATTCCTGATCAAAAATTAACATTAGGATTTCAAACTACTTATAAATAAACAATTCCGATTTATTTTTTTTGTTTAACATATTTTAAGAATTTTATTTTTGCCTGACATTTAATTTGTCTTTCACTAATTACTAATTGCATTTTCTGCCCCAGCAGGCTGAGCCCATCGGACCCACTCGGCCTTCGTCGGCGATGTTTGCGTATCCCAATTTGGGGGCCATGGGCATGGGAACCCTGGGCGGGATGTCACTTCAGAGCACCATGCAGATGCATCCCAGCGCCACTCTGGCCCCTCCTGTGCCATTGCCCAGGTATGAATCAGCATCCTGTTTTATAGCATATTCTGAGTGTTTTTCTTTGACTTAGAAGACTTGGCCTGGGTCCCCGCTCGAATGGAATGCGGACACTGGAGAACTCCAGCTCGAGCGAGGAGGAGGATCGCGCTGATCTGCTGGGAAGGAATTTCCAAGTGCCCCGCCCCAAAAGTCGCAGCAATGGCAGTATAGCGGTAAGATCGAGTTCATTGTCTCTCAACATAATAAGATAAAGCGACATAGTCAAGTGACCTGTTTAAAGTAGACAAAGGATTGGTTCTAACTGTGCTGTTTAAAAAAGTTACATACCAAAAAAGCATAATAACTGGTTTTAAACAAGACATCATTGCTAATGTTTCAATAAAGAACTATTTCCGTGCCTGTTAACTTAAAATAGAACAAGTTAAAAATAATTAATTTAAGAATTATATCAAAATTTGAGACCTGATCGTTAGCAAATGACCGTTAGTGATATAAGCACTTTTATGGTTTAATTGTTTCAGATTCTTAATATAAACATAAATATTTTGTATTATACTCTTATAATCAATTAATATAATCGCTTTTTATAACAGAACCAATCTGGCATCTATTACGATGTGGACTACGAGCCGTCGGGCAATGGGATCGGCAACTCGAGCGTGGACCACCTGTACGGGTCGCACAACCAGTCCGTGACGCACTCGTCGGGCCACAGCCACATCCCGGGACCCCAGGGAATTCCGATGAGCACGTACACCTCCGGTCGGGGTCCCAGCAGCTACTACATGAAGTGACCCCTGGCCGATCAGAAGCCACAACCCTGTACATACGCAACCTAGACTAAGACGACTATCACCAAAACACTTTTCCACTGCAGTCCCCGCGGCGACTGCAGCTGAGACGCGTTTTGCAGGATCCCGATGCCCCTTTTTAGTATGAGAAACGTAGACTTAGGACTATCCGTAGGTTCCACCTAGATGTACGCAATGCAAACAACAACTAATCATTAATTTTAAAGACTACTGTTAAAATTTAAATTATTTCACTGCTGTCCACTTAAAGTCAAATCCCATAAAATAGTTGCTTAGCTTATTTTACGATATTAAAATATGTTTAATGTATTAAGTCCACATAGCTAGAATGTCTGTTTATGTATATAAATGAATAAAAGATCTAAATTTACAATTGAATAGAAAACTTTGCACTTTTTTTTTAATTTGGAGATGATTGTGGTAAAAGTAAGATATAGTAAGATAACAGTTTGATATATTAATAATCAACAGTTCAAATATTGGCGCCTAGTGGCTGCAAAACTGTAAGGCTTTAATGTACGTTTCTTTATCTCGCTCTTACTAACGCACATAGAGCAGCACCGATCAGCATGTGGTAAGAGGGAAACAACTACTGGTTGTGTGTGAGAGTGAGTCAACTAAATAGCGTAAAATCACGATTGGCGCCCAATTTAAACTTGATCTGAGTACACATTCTTTATTCTTTATATATTTTATGGCATCTGCCAGATTGTAATAACTCTAATAATTTATTAAAATTTTTTTTTTGGTAAAAAAAACGACTTTTTGTGGTGACTTATCTTTAATGTTAAATGTCTGCGGTTTTAATTATTCAATTTTAAAGACAACATTTTGTTATACATTTTGTTGTTGCGTGAGTTCATTTACAGACTCTGATTTCTCAGACAAGTTTTTTTATTCAAAAACTTAAATGTATCAATAAAAAATAAATATTTTTGTTAATAATGATTTTATTTATTGAATTGTCAACTTACGACATTACGAATAAAATTAAATGACAGCCTATATGATAAATTCGATTTTGTAATGAAAAACAAGTGAAAACTTTTCTTCTTCTGCAATGGTGTTTTTTCTCCTTATTGATAATCACATCGCCTTCCGCTGTGAAAATATATATTTTCACATTTCATGTAAAAGGAAAAAAAGACCACGAATTAATTTATGACAATTTTCGGACGCTGTCTCCGACGCATTTCACACGCATAAATAAGTTGAGGTAGCTGATAGAATGAAGAAAGTAATGTTTGCCCGCTGCGTATGCGTGTGGCAGGTTGAGCATTTGTTGGAAAACGCGAAGGCGTTGAAGTCTTCTTATGCAACACACAAGTGGCTACAAGTCGTGCCTTAGGTCAAGCAGTGGAATGCCCACTTAAAGCGGTGGTTTTTTATTAATGTGAGGTGAAGTGTTAAAGCACCTTCATAAAACAAAACTATTTTATTAATATCGTGTTTCTTCGAATAAATTTTAGTGATAACCAAGAAAAGTTTTATGTGATTTTTAAAAAGAACTATGATCAAGGAGCCGCTTCTTTTACGTATACTTGTTATTGAGAATTAGTCGAGCTTTTAAGCTTTTACTTCCATAAATAAGAAAAAAAGAATATTTAAAACCTTACTACTGGTAAACCTGACCTAACTAATATAAGTTTAAAAAGAATATTCATTGCTGCTTAGTCATAAATAAAAAATAAATATTATGAACCATTCATCGCGAGTGGGGGAAATCTACCATTGACAAAAAATTAGGATAATAAATATCTCCTTCAAAAAACTTGATGAAAGGGCAGTACAAATCAGTTCATTATAATTATTAGAAAATATTAATCAGTACTGCTTGCTAGTTCCTCATATTATTTTTATTCGCAAATCAAAAGATTTTGAAAGACCCATGATATTTCACGAACCCTGGTTTGGAAATTAAATTATATGTTACAGATATGTCACATGATTTGTCAAAAATGCCGGAGGGGGTATACATATGTGTATGACAAGTCAGCCGCTGAGCCCAAGACTTCGCCACCTGAGAGATCATCAATATTTGGCCATTACGTGTCGGCAATTTGTGTGTGGAGGCATGCGTACGAAGTTCAATGCCGCATGAAGCATCAAAGTGGCGCTGCCTAATTAATCGACGTTCGCTCGCCAATTGCTGTTGTTGTTTTTCGGCGGGGAGGTCGAGTTCGACTCTGGGCCATCGGCACCTCGAGGCGTTTTAATTGCGCTTATTTAATAATTATCCGTTTGCGGTGACTAGTAGCCGTTGCTCTCGTTCGCCGTAAATTGCACAAAACTACAAATGTTCAAAACGATCGTTTCACTACATCTGCAAGCGGTGTTCGGCCACCACTGTTGACCCATTTTCCTTTCATTTCACTTTTATGTGTTGCTCTTTCTGGCTTTTGTAGCAGTGACGCTGCAATCTTTCAATTTCGTGCCGTGCCATGCCATCCCACCAATTCGTTTATTCAAACGCCATTCCAAGCAAATCACGTAGATGAAGCGGCGTGGCCATAAAAAAAAACTCAGCACAAATTCCATTAGGTTCGATTTGCCATTGTTGAGCGGTTTTTAGCAATTTGCGCTTGTTATTGGGTCATATTATGTCACAGAGCATTTATAGATTGCGATTCAATTTAGCCTTCGCGCCTTCGGAGGTGTCAATCCGTGGCCAAAAATACTATGTGGTAAAATAGGATTACCGGTGATTTGAGATTCTAGCACCTACATATTTGTTCATCTGTACTATCAGTTCGTAATGACTTGGCCAAGAGGTTAATTCGAGTTCACTATATGTTATAGGTAATGGGACTGTCTTTAACCTGTTTTAGGCATTTCTATTCATTTCCAGACATAAATTTCTGTTGTGAACTTAATAATTGTCAACTTTTAATGCACATCTAAAAATTACATTTATTTTTCAAATGATATATACTTAAAAGAAAAGGCTGCTTACTTCCCAAGCGACTCCCTTACTTTCAACTACATTCCCTAAGTCGGAAACCTTATGATGCACAAGTAATAATAAGTAAACTCACTCACTCACTATTTGTACCAAAGTGTACCGAATTAAATGAATTTAAATGCCAAAATGGTAAAAAAAAAAGATAGTAGAAGATAGATAAGATAAAATATAAAATAAAAAAATAGTTTAAAGGCAGTTTACTGCCCTTTGCATCACAAATCAAAGGTCTGCTAACTTCTCAAACCACCCTCGTACTTCACAGTGGGGAACCCTTTGATGCCCAATTACAAACTAACTTCACTCACTCATTTTTTGTCACAAACTGCATCGAATATCGTAACTTCAAGGGCAGAGTCACAGGGCAATACCTCCCCATTCGACACCCCCGCATTTTGTGTCGCATGCATTTCAAGCTGGGCTCCTGCCAAACCGCATTAGCCGAATTGCAAAAAGCGCATCGTTAAAACCAAAGCCATACAAAGCTGGCAATTACCTGTTGACTGTTACTTGTTACCTGTTACCTGAGTCTATTCGGAGTTCCAGTTACTTTGTTGCGTCTTCGGTACGGCAATGACAATGCCGAAAGTCCGCAGGTGTTGCAAGCAATAACTCAATGCCTTTAGTTCCTCGGGGCGTGTGGCATGTTGGGCGTGTGGGGGGTGGAGAGTTGTGAAGTGGGTGGAGTGTTCAGTGTGGAGTGTTCAGTGTGGAGTGTGCAGTGTGCAGTGTGGTGGGTCCCCCTCCGAGTTCGGCACCCTGTTGTCGTTTGTCATAATTGGGCGCGCGTGGAAGATGCGCGTCCGACTTCCTTGTTGGCATTGTTGTCACTTGCCGCCAGTCGCTTGTCATCAAGTCGCCGGGTCTGTCAATCTGTAGCAAATGAGCAAACAACCGCAAAACGGGAAAAATATATGTGTGCTAGTACAAAAAATGTTTGGCAAATAAAGTTTATCGTATTCGTCGTAGTGAACCGTTCAAGGAACCTATTAAATCAAAGCACTTTATAGGTCAGTTGTCTTCATTGAAACAACAAGGAAACATTTTAATTGATCAATAGTGCTATAAAATCTATCTGTTTGCTAATTTTAAAATGAAAAAGTGTTGGCGTGGCTTGAGTTTTAACATGACAATTGATTATTCAAAAATGAAGAGTCATTTATTTATTGTTTTATTACCTTTGGTGCCTCGGTCAGAGATGGTATAACTATAACTATTTCTTTAAGTGCTGTTCAGCTTGTCTAAAACTATTCCCTAAATGAACATGTATTTACTTATACTTAATAATTCTATAAATGAATTTATTAAATCATGGTTCTTTTAATTATGCGATATTTTCCAACTTTTACACCTCTGGTTACTAACGTTTTTTTTAAGACGCGTCTGTAAAGTAAACGATTGCATCAGATTTCGCATACTCGAACAATGCTATTAGTCTAAGAAGGGTATTATAGAAATACTTAAAAAATGACTTTTTTTATCTTTTAGAACTCAACATAATTTAAACTTTTGTATTTAAAGAAACCTATATTTTAATAAACGATTAGCTAAAGTAGCTAATGAATTAACGAAACTGCCCGAACTACCACAAGCTGTCAAAGATTTTCCCGTTCTTGACCCTAAACAATAGCCGCATTGTCTTAATTATTAAAGTCAGCGTTAATATTGAGCCATACCACACGAAACTCCAGACAAATCATGACAGCGATTCACAGGGCCTAACAAGTGGAAGTTCAAGCCGCATAAATTTGCCACAACGCAAACAGATCTCACATGTCATTATATAAGGCAGACAAACTGGCGGCAGCGGAGTGAGTGGAAAGTGAGATAAGATAATTGGTGTGGAAAACTGAGAAAATGATTGCGCGTCGGAGGAGTTATACAGACCCACTGTGCCTGGGAGTCTCACTTTCGGCCCGAATCGGTTTCTTCTGTTTGCTGTCTTCTGTCTTCTGCAAGCGGAACAACCGCAAAGACATGCCTCAGCAACGAGGCAGGTATACCAAAAAAATAACGCTCCTGGGCGCGCGACAAAATAAAACTGCGATGGCAATTGCAATTGCAACTGCAACATACACCCAGCGATAGTCACACACCAATAAAAAGCGTAAAGTGAATGAATTTGCGTATTAATGAGCAAAAACAGATTCGCACGCATGCCAATGCCTTCATTTTTTTATGGCGCCATTTGCCACATGCCACTTCCCTTACGCCCACCTGGGTCATTACTCATCCGCCCCGAGGGACATTCAATTGGGCAGCTGAACGAGAAATGCAGCCGCAATAACAACAGCGATAGATGTGGCGGCGTTGTCATAATGATGATGATGATAGTACCAATGCCGAAGACGAGCAAGAAGAGTGAAAGGGGAGCTGACGTAATGTGGTTGCATCTTCTTTTTTGGCTCCCCCATTTTCATTCCACC